TTTATTATCTTGAAACTTGAAGAGACAGGCCCAGGACACTTCCCATTAGGTTCCCAGGAGAACACACTTAAAATAAACCACGTGTCAAGTGATTGACTCCTAAATTAGCCAAAATATCATTTTGGGAGGTTTGTCCAGCCTTCTGGAACCTGCCATGGCAAACACTGCGGAGTTTCATCTGTGTGATATGCTCTTCCATCACCGTGTTCTTTTTGCTGTTATCCTCCAGCCTCGGAGCTTCTCTCTCATTGGCATCCCCCACCTCTCCCTCCCTTCCTCCTTCCCTCCCTTCCTTTTTCCCTCCCTCCCTCCCTCCCTTCCTCCCTCCCTTCCTTCTATGTTGGAGATTGAACCTATAGCCTGGATTATGCAAAGTAAGTACTCTACCACTGAGCTACAAACACAGCCCTGCTTTCTCTTTTTTGTTTTCTTTTCCTTTTGGCACTGAGGGTTGGATCCAGCGGAGCCCCTTGCTTTCAATGGCTTTACCTTGTGACTCTGTTTGGTCACCCTTGGGATCCTAAGCTCTCTGAACTGACATGGCTATGCTGTGTTTGTGAGTCTCCCTTCCTCCCTGTGGCTGTGGTTTCTGACTGTCAGGAGTGGGAAAACCGAGCTACCTTCTGATGTTGGGCAAGCTTTGAAGTGTGACTGACCTGGTAGAGCTCACTCCACGGTGCTGAGGCTGGGGCTTGACCAACATCACACACTTCTTTCTGCTTTCCATATTTCTCCCATTCCTTTCATTGTCTTTGCTGGGAGCCTTCCTTAAAAAAATCTCTTGCACACAGTCCCTGTCTCAGTATTTGCTTTCAGGACCCCGACCTAAGGGGAATAAAAGAGAAAGAAAGGAACCTTCTGAAATGACCCCTGCTGCTGTGTACAACCCAGAGGTATACATCGAAGTTCACCTGGAAGAAGCTTGGCTGACTCTCTGGCCAGATAATCGTTGACCATTGCTGTACAAGGACTTGTGGCTCTGGTGGAGCTGCAGGGAGGGCGTGGGCAAGAGCAATTTGCCTTCGACAGACAGCTTAGTAGGCGAAGTGCTTGTTGGGTGAGCATGAGCCCTGAGTTGGGATTGGCCAGTACCCATGGGAAAGGCCAGGTACAGAGGCACAGGCTTGTGTCATCCTAGCACTGGGGAGGTGGATCCGAGAGGGATCTCGGGGCTCAGTTTGCCTGACAAATTGATGAGCTCCAGGTTCGGGGGAGACCGACCTTGTTGCTAAAACAAAACAAAATGAAACAAACAAACAAACCAACAAACAAAAAAGAGGTGGAGAGTACTAGAGAAAAACACGTGCCATTGATGTCTGGCCCCTCCAGGCACTTTATACACACACACACACACTACACGTGCACACACACAATACACGTACACACACGATACATGTACCCACACAAACACACACATGAACATGAATATAAATACATACAACACACACAAATGATCATGCATATACACACAACACCCACACACAACACATACATGAGCATGCACATACAACACACACATATACTACCACCACACACATCAAACATACACTAACACACTAAATATAAAATGATAAAGCTGGGATCCCAGTTCAATTCCCAGCATCCACACAGTGACTCACAACCATCTTTAACTCTAATTTCAGGAGATCCAATGCCCTCTTTTGCATTCCAATGACAGTGTACATATGTGGTATACAGACATACATTCAGGCAAACACTATGCACACAAAATAAAAACAAACACAGTCTTGCGGGGTCTGGTGGCGTACACCTTTAATTCCAGCACTCAGGAGGCAGAGGCAGGTGGATCTCTGTGAGTTCAAGGCCAGCCTGGTCTATAAGAGCTAGCTTCAGGACAGGCCCCAAAGCTACAGAGAAAACTTGTCTCAAAAAACCAAAAACTAAAAACCAAAATTAAAACAAAAACAAACCACCAGCAACAACAACAAAATATCCCCCAAACAAAAAAGACACTATTTATTAGAAGCTTAAAAAATTGTGAAAGTAGAATACACGAGAATGATGGCAGGATAATAGGGAGAGTGAATGAACTCTTCCTGGGGAATATACATTTTTAGGGAATTTGGTAAGCATTAGTTTTATGCAGAACATGACCAATAAAGGATGCCTATTCTGATCACAATGACAAGCCTATGACAAGGTTGAGCTAATCAAAAGAAATGGAGGAACCAGAACAGAGGTCTGGGAATGTGTGATTAACTGAAGGCTGGAAAGGAACATTAGAGAGGAAAAACAGCAGAGCCAACAGAAAACAAACAGCAAGGTGGTACATTTAAGCCCAATCTTGCCAAACACTGCACTAACTGTAGGTAGAGCAAACACTTGAGTTAATAGGCAGAGAATATCAAACTAGATAAGAAGGACTCAAATGTATTCAGTCTTAAGTGACTTATTTCAAGTGAACAGATAAACTAAAAATAAGAGAATGGGAAAATGTATATTGTGTAGATATAATAAAATAATAATAAGAAATACAAACAGGAACAAGAACAAACAAGAAAGCCGCCGTGGTGATAAAGGTCAAATAAAATCAGCTTCAGGATAAGCTTGTTAGCAGACATAAGGAGAGGGTTTTTTCTTCTTCTTCGTTTCTGATTTTCATGTATCCCAGGCTGACCTCAAACTTGCTGTGTGGAGAACGACCTTAAACTTCTTTAAAAAAAAAAAGATACAAACAAATTTTATGCATATGGGTGCTTTGCCTGCATGTATATCTGTGTACCACATGAACACCTGGTGCCTGCCGAGGTCAGAAGAGGGCACTAGATCTCCTGGGACCGAGGTAGGGTTGGTTGTGAACCTAAACTCAGGTCCTTTGGAAGAATAGCCAGTGCTCTTAACTGCTGAGTGGCCCCTCCAGCCCCACCTTGAACTTCTGATCCCCTTTCTCCACTGGCGTGCTGGGATTAAAGGCGTGCACCACTACTGCCCAGCAATTCTAGGGTTTCTTACATGCTAGGCAACCACTTGGCCAACTGAGCCACCTCCTCAGTCCTGGGATTTAGATGTTTAAGAATAGGGAATTGGAAGGACTAGTTCTGTCTGAAGATCATCTCTGTCATGGGTCATCACAGTGTTTTCCCTCAGTCAGTCCAGACAGACAGCCCACCAGCGTGCATGTGTGTGTGCGTGCGTGCGTGCGAGCGTGCGTGCGTGTGTGTGTGTGTGTGTGTGTGTGTGTGTCTGAGTTCACGAGGATAGCCTTGAAGGCCAGAGGGCAACCTTGCTGTGATTCCTCGGGCACCCTTCATCTTTGTTTAACAAGTCAGGGGCTCTCACCGACCTGGAATTCTCTGAGTAAATTGGTTGGCCAGCAAGCTTCAGCGAGCCTCCTGTGTCTGCCTCTCCAGCCCTGGGATCCCAAGCATGTCACTGTGCCTGGCTTTTTAAAAACAGGTCTTGGTGACTGTAAAGCAAGAACTTTACTGACTGAACTATTGATGCGCTCTTGTCTTTTGGAGGCGTTTTCTCAACTGAGGTCCCCTCCTCTCACCTGACTTTAGCTTGTGTCAAGTAGACATAAAACCATCCAGTAGAGGGTCTTACCCTATAGCTCAGGCTGGCCTCAAACTCTTGACAATCCTCCTGCTTCAGCCTCTCCAGCAGTGGAATGATAGGTATAACCCACCAAGACCAGTTTATTGATGAAGATTTTAGCATCTGTCAGTCATCAAAGGACTAAGAGAACAACAACAACAACAAAAAAAATCAGCAAGGAGCTTGTGTTCATTAGTTGCCCTGTGGCTGGGCAGAATGCTGACAAAAGCAACCTAAGAGGGGGTTTATTTGGGGACAGGTCATCATGGCAGAGGAGTCACAGCCGCAGATCCTTGAAGCAGGGGGCTGGTCACATGGCACCTGTAGCCAAGAAGCAGAGAGCGTCGGATGAGAGCGACAGATGCCAGTGCAGGGCCTCCGCATATGGAGTAACGCCAACCACATGTTTTAGGATGGCTCTTTCTTCCCAACTCTATTAACTGATTGTGATACACCCTCACAGACATTCCTAGAGATCTTCTCCAGGATGATTCTAGATCCTGTGGCGTTGATCTGTATAAACAATCACAGATACAGAACACAGCATGTGATCCACCAGGCTGTACTTCCTGATGTTTCTGAAACTCTATGCCCAGTAACTGAAGAACAAACATTGGTCCCCAAGGCTCCATGACAAGCTGGGCTACAAAATGGGTCAAGAAAGCCTAAAGACTGGCATCCATATAGACTACATAGAGGTAGATTCCCTGACCACCATAGAACAACATTTTAAATAACAACACAGAACAAAGGAAGGAAGCCGGTCAATGGTGGCACATGCCTTTGGTCCCAGCACTCAGGAAGCAGAGGCAGGCAGATCTCTGAGTTTGAGGCTAGCTGTAACCTGGTCTACGAAGCGAGTTCCAGGACAGCCAGAGTTGTTACACAGAGAAACCCTGTCAAAATACAAACTAATTTTAATCCAAAGATAGGAGAAAAAATGAAAATGAACAGAAATAGCAAAACGGTAAACCAACAGTTGGGTGTGCTTGTACCCGCCTTTAGTCTCAGGGAGACAGAGGCTGGTAGGTCTCTGCGTTTCCTGGTCTACATTGTGAGTTACTAGACAAGCAAGGCTATGTAGAGTCTCTGTCTCAAAAAACAAAAACAAAAGGCAAACCAACAAAAGAAAATTAGTTTAACTTTTTGAAAAGATTGGTAAGGTTCATAAACTCCAGCAAGATTCAACAAAAGGAGGCAGGGGGATTGAGGCGAGAGAAGAGGGAAGGAGGCTGACGAGCACAGCAAAATCACCACACTCAGGAGGCTCAGGCGGAGGAATTGCGAGCCTGAGGCTTCATGATGAAAACCTGTCTCGAAAACTAAACCTGAACTAAACCATAACCAACATAAAAGGTCATTTGTCCCTTTTAGACTGTCATTGCAAGATTTTTGTATGTTTGAAATTATATCAAAATAAACATTTAAGCAAAGTGGAGAAAATGTGCAAGCCGACACTAACACGGGCCCCGAGCTTCCGTGCAGAGAGGCTGCCCTCTGCTGATGTGGCCACAGGAGCGGGAGGGCTGCCCTCTGCTGATGTGGCCACAGGAGCGGGAGGGGTGCCCTCTGCTGATGTGGCCACAGGAGCGGGAGGGCTGCCCTCTGCTGATGTGGCCACAGGAGCGGGAGGGCTGCCCTCTGCTGATGTGGCCACAGGAGCGGGAGGGGTGCCCGAAGGAAGGGAGTTACGGTTGGAGGAAAGGATGGACCTTAGCTGCACCACGACCTTGACTGGTCCTGGTCCCAGTGCACTTCCCTGCCGATCTCGGTGCCTACACAGGCTTATGCCACGTTCTCGTCACCTGGAGCGTTCTGACCTGCGTCGGGTTTCCACACACACCAGTTAGCATTCTCCCTTGAGATCTGTTTGTTTTACATCTTTCTGTATGTTATTTTATGTGGGGAGTGGAATGGGGGTGGGTGCCGCGCACACCGCCTCTCTGCGCTACCATACAGTTCGCAAGCTTTGGGCAAGGGGCTGGAGGCTGAAACATACAGAGACACGAACCTCTCGTCACTGGTAAGAAACCCCCTACTCAATAGCACCACGGAGGCTTATATACCCAACAGTCAGGTGGGCCAACAGGTGAAAACCTTATCCTCTGATCCTCAAGGCAAGGCAGCACGTGCTCGTGAAGCAGAGCTGGTAAACAACTTTGACACAGCTTTCAGTAACTCAAATCAGAAGGAAAGTAAAGATCTCTAGCAGAGAAGAGCAGCTGGAGGCCAGGACTCCAAATGGTCCCAACTGGTGGGTTGTAATGTGAGTGCCACACGGCAAGTGTGGAAGTCATAGGACAATTGAGAACATAGGTTCAGTCCTTCCAGAGTGTAGCATTGAACTCAGGTGGACAGTCCCAGCAGCAAACTCCTCTACCCACTGAGCCATCGCGATGGCCCTCCTTGGGATTTCTCCACACCAGCAACCCCTTGTGGGCCAACCTAAACACCACATAAAGGCATACCCAACTTGTAATACAGTGGAGGGAGAGGACAGAGCTTTCCAGGCAGAGAAGACAGGCGTTTAAATTTAGATACGTGGATGAAAGCGTGCCTCGTGCGGCATCTGAATCGGAAACAACGCAGAACCGTTCCTTTCTTCTAAAAGCCAACAGCTGCTCAGAGACGTGCAGGCTGAACCACTTCCTCCTGCTCAGAAATTCTCAGAGCGGCACACGCGCACACATACATATGGTTAGAACAAAGGAGCAAAACAAAAACTAGCTCATCAAGAATGCGCTCAGAGCAAGGGTTATATTTTAGGTGAGAGCTAGTGAGCCAGGGTGGAAGGAAGGTGGGAGAGGGGAAGAAACATTATTTTCTCTGGAGCAGTGGTTCAAACCTGTGACCTCAGCACGGGAGAAGTTGAAGCAGGAGGATTGGCCTGAATCAGAGGCCAGCGTGGGCAACAGAAGGACAGTTGGCAAGAAAGGAAAGAAAGAAAGAAAGAAAGAGAGAAGGAAAGAAAGAAAGAAAGAAAGAAAGAAAGAAAAGTTGGGGCTGGTGAGTGAAAGACCCCCACAGTATAGACAAACAGCTAAGCAGCAGCAATGCCAGGCTTAAACTTTGGAGCAACGCAAGTAACATTAGAGCAGGGAAGTTCGACTTGAGAACAAGGGCGGAGAAGCCAGGCAAGATATCTGCGGTCAGCCGGTCAGCCATCTGGCCCCAAGCGATAAGGAACCCGCAGCTGGCCTGCTCTAATGAGAACCTCCCGTTTGCTTAGGGAAACAGGATGCCTATAGTCAGCACATGTGCCCAACTTAGAATATCAGTAATTCACAGAAGAGACAACTCCCCCTATGAAAGATCCCAGCTTGGCTGCTGTAACGTCATTTCACAAAGCTTTTGATGAACGACTGTAAGTGCAGAGTAAGGTCAGGGTCCCTGGCTGCAAAACAGGATATTTATATCCATAGATTCGGGCAGGACATCAATTAACAGGATATCTGTTCCCATACATCTGTGCTGGGAGAGGAAAAACCACCTGTGCCCCTTGCCCCATTCCAACTGACCACTAACGATGCATTTGCTTCTGTAATCTGCTTCTGCTGCCCTCTTTCCTATAAAAAGACCTTCCCCCAGTCTGCAGGCGCGCTTTGTCTTTCGAGAGACTAAGTTGCCCCAGGTACCTGTGTACTGAATAAAGCCTCTTGCTGTTTGCATCCGAAGAGTGACTCGCTGTTCCTTGGGAGGGTCTCCTCAGCCTGAAAGACTGCCCACCACTGGGGTCTTTCATTTGGAGGTTCCACCAAGATTTGGAGACCCCTGCCCAGGGACCACCGACTCACCACCGGGAGGTAAGCTGGCCAGCACAATTGTTTTCTGTCTGTCTTCTGTCTTTTATGTTTGCGCCTGCGTTTGTACTGGTTAGCTAATCAGATTTGTATTTGGCGGACCCGGGGAGGAGCTGACGAGCTCGTACTCCCCACCGCAGCCCTGGGAGACGTCCCAGTGGCGTTTGGGGGCCCGATTCGTGGCCCATTTGCAGTTTGTGAGTCGCGTGGAACTGGGACTTTTGGGGGCTGCCCCACTGTCTGAGGGATTCTTGACTCTTTTGGGAGACGAGGAGCCCGGGTCCTCAAAGTCTCCGTTTGAATTCTTGCTTTCGGTTTTATGCCAAAGCCGCGCTGCAAGTTTCTGTGTCTGTCTAAGTTGTATTTTGTTTGTCTGTCTAATTGTTACTGTCACCGCGGTTGAGAGAATGGGCCAATCTGTAACCACCCCTCTAAGCCTGACTTTACAGCACTGGCGAGACGTCCAAGACATTGCAAATAACCAGTCAGTGGACGTCCGGAAGAGACACTGGGTAACTGTCTGTTCCTCGGAATGGCCCACGTTCAATGTGGGCTGGCCAAGGGATGGTACTTTTGACATCAATGTTATCTTACAGGTAAAGGCTAAGGTGATGGATCCTGGCCATCACGGGCATCCAGACCAGGTCGCGTATATCGTGGTCTGGGAGGCGATGGCTTATGACCCACCGCCCTGGGTCAAGCCTTTCGTCACCCCGAAACCCCCTATCCTTACCCCCTCTGCACCTGCCTTACCCCCTCCACTCCTTCCCACCCCAACGGGACCTCCGCCCCACTCCTCCCTGTACCCAACCCTCACCAAATCCCCGGTGCCCAAGCCCCCTCCTCCAAAAGTCTTGCCCCCAGATGATGACCTACTGATGGACCTCCTCACGGAGGGCCCTCCCCCATATCAGGAGCCAGCTCCACGGACTCCGAATGAGGCTGACTCAACTGAAAGAAAAGAAGAACAAGCAGCGCCGGCCTCTGCTGGTCCTTCTCCGATGGCCACACGCCTGAGGGGACGAAGAGACCAGCTGCATGCAGCGGATACAACCTCCTCACAGGCATTCCCTCTTCGCACGGGAATGAACGGCCAACTGCAGTACTGGCCATTCTCCTCCTCAGACCTCTACAACTGGAAAAATAATAACCCTCCTTTTTCTGAGGACCCCTCTAGGTTGACTGCTCTGATTGAATCTATTTTGATTACCCATCAGCCTACATGGGACGACTGCCAACAGCTGCTGCAGACCCTGCTGACTTCGGAGGAACGGCAGAGGGTCCTCCTGGAAGCCCGGAAGGAAGTCCGGGGACCTGATGGCCGCTCCACCCAATTGCCTAATGAAATAGATTCTGCCTTTCCCCTTGAACGCCCCTCTTGGGATTTCACCACGGTGGAAGGTAGGAATCACCTAGCCCTCTATCGCCAGTTGCTCATAGCGGGTCTCCACAGGGCGGCTCGACGCCCAACGAATTTGGCTCAGGTAAAGCAGGTTATACAGGGGTCAGAGGAAACTCCCTCTGCGTTCCTTGAGAGGCTCAAAGAGGCTTACCGCAGATATACTCCCTATGACCCTGATGACCCCGGACAGGAGACCAATATCTCCATGTCTTTTATTTGGCAGTCAGCTCCAGATATCAGACGCAAACTGGAGCATCTAGAGAACCTCAGGGAAAGCTCACTCAGGGATCTGCTAAAGGAAGCAGAAAAGATTTTCAATAAGAGGGAGACTCAGGAAGAGAGGGAGGACCGCCTCAGGAGAGAAGCAGAGGAACGAGAGGACCGCTTCAGAAAAGAAGCCGAGGAAAGGGAAAAAGAGAGGGACCGCAAGAGACATAAGGAAATGAGTAAACTTTTGGCCACCGTAGTGTCAGGGCAAAGACAGGATAGACAGGAGGGAGACAAAAGAAGGCCACCCCTTGACAAGGACCAATGCGCCTACTGTAAAGAAAAGGGGCATTGGGCAAGGGATTGTCCCAAGAACTCGAGGGGACCCAGGAGACCAAGACCTTCTCAGACCTCCCTCCTAGCTCTGGACGACTAGGGAGATCAGGGCCAGGAGCCTCCCCCTGAGCCCAGGATAACCTTAGATGTTGGGGGGCAACCCGTCACCTTCCTAGTTGATACCGGAGCTCAACACTCGGTGCTAACCCGGGACCCCGGACCCCTGAGTGACAAGTCTGCCTGGGTCCAAGGGGCCACTGGTGGAAAACGATACCGATGGACCACAGATCGCAAGCTTCACCTAGCAACTGGTAAGGTGACTCATTCTTTCCTCCACGTGCCTGACTGTCCATATCCGCTCCTAGGAAGGGACTTGCTCACAAAATTAAAAGCCCAAATTTACTTCAAGGAAACCGGAGCACAGGTAGTTGGCCCTCAGGGACAACCCTTACATGTGCTGACTCTCAGCCTAGAAGATGAATATAGGCTGCATGAAAAAGACAGTACCACTGCGGCCCCCACTGAGGCTTATTGGCTGGATCGCTTTCCCCAGGCATGGGCAGAAACCGGGGGAATGGGGCTGGCCAGACAGCAGCCCCCTCTAGTGGTAAGCCTCAAGACAACTGCTACTCCTGTCTCGATTAAACAGTATCCCATGTCTCACGAGGCAAGGGAAGGAATAAGGCCTCACATCAAAAGGCTTCTTGACCAGGGAATATTAGTCCCCTGCCGGTCCCCTTGGAATACCCCCTTGCTGCCCGTGAAAAAGCCAGGGACTGGGGACTATAGACCTGTGCAGGATCTAAGAGAGGTCAATAAACGGGTGGAAGACATACACCCGACAGTTCCTAACCCCTACAATCTGTTAAGTGGACTATCACCCTCATATACTTGGTATACCGTCCTGGACCTCAAGGATGCATTCTTCTGCCTGAGACTGCACCCCAGAAGTCAGCCCATATTTGCCTTTGAATGGAAGGATCCTAAACTGGGGATTTCAGGACAGCTGACCTGGACCAGGTTGCCTCAGGGTTTCAAAAATAGCCCCACCCTGTTCGATGAGGCCCTACACCGAGACTTAGCGGATTTCAGGGTGAGGCATCCTGGCCTGATGCTGTTACAGTATGTTGATGATCTCTTGTTAGCTGCTACTTCGGCTCAGGACTGTATAAAAGGAACTGAGGCATTACTACAAGCCTTGGGGGATCTAGGGTACCGAGCTTCTGCCAAAAAGGCCCAAATATGCCAACGGCAGGTCACCTACCTAGGGTACCAAATCAGAGAAGGACAGAGGTGGCTAACGGAGGCCAGGAAAGACACAGTTATAAAAATCCCTACACCCCGGACACCCCGCCAGCTGAGAGAGTTTCTAGGGACAGCGGGATTCTGCCGGCTCTGGATCCCCGGATTCGCGGAACTGGCAGCCCCTTTGTACCCACTGACTAAGCAGGGGGTGATGTACTCATGGGGATCGGATCAGGACGAGGCTTTTCAGAAAATCAAACGGGCTCTGCTCACAGCCCCAGCCTTAGGCCTCCCTGACCTGACTAAGCCTTTTGATTTGTTTGTCGATGAGAAGCAAGGATATGCAAAAGGGGTCTTGACCCAGAGGCTGGGGCCCTGGCGGCGGCCAATAGCCTACCTATCCAAGAAATTGGACCCCGTGGCCACAGGATGGCCCCCATGCCTCAGAATGGTAGCAGCAGTGGCAGTCCTCACCAAGGACGCTGGCAAACTGACTATGGGCCAACCTTTGACCATCCTGGCCCCACACGCAATTGAGACTCTAATCAGACAACCCCCAGATCGCTGGCTCTCCAATGCCCGCATGACCCATTATCAGGCCATGCTCCTGGACTCGGACCGAATCCATTTCGGACCAGTGGTGGCGCTCAATCCTGCAACCCTGCTACCACTCCCAGAGGAGGGGGAGACGGACCAACACGACTGTCTCGAGATCCTTGCGGAAATGCACGGGACCAGACCGGACCTGACGGATCAACCCCTCCGGGATGCGGATGTCACCTGGTACACTGACGGCAGCAGCTTTCTGCGGGAAGGTGAGCGAAAGGCGGGTGCAGCGGTAACCACGGAGACCGAGGTGATCTGGGCACAGCCTCTGCCTGCGGGGACTTCTGCGCAGCGAGCAGAGCTTGTCGCCTTGACACAAGCTTTGAGGATGGCAGAAGGTAAGAAGCTCAATGTCTATACTGACAGCCGATATGCTTTTGCCACTGCTCATGTTCATGGGGAAATATACAGAAGAAGAGGGCTACTGACTTCAGAAGGAAAGGAAATTAAAAATAAAACAGAGATCTTAGCCTTGTTAAAAGCTTTATTTCTGCCTCGGAAACTGAGCATTATACATTGCCCAGGACACCAGAAAGGAGACAGCCCTGAGGCTCGAGGAAACCGGCTGGCTGATGAAGCCGCCAAACAGGTGGCCCTGCAGGCTCCGCTAGCCATACTGCCCATGCACCAAGATAAGAGAGACCCCCTCAAATATGATGAGGAGGATCTAAAGCTCCTGGCAGACATGGGAGCGGAGCAGGACCAGAAAACGGGCGAATGGACATGGAAGGGAAAAACAGTGATGCCGATGGCATACACTTATAAGATGCTTGATTACTTACATAAATTGACCCATCTAAGCCCCCGAAAGATGAAAACTTTGTTAGACCGGCAGGAAACTTTTTGCTATTTACTGGGGCGAGACAGCATCCTCCAAAAAGTTATGGACAAATGTAGAGCATGTGCACAGGTAAATGCAGGAAAAACCAAGGTGGGACAGGGGGTGCGAATCCGCGGACATCGACCAGGAGTACAATGGGAAATTGACTTTACTGAAATAAAACCAGGCATGTATGGATACCGGTACTTATTGGTATTTGTGGACACCTTTTCGGGATGGGTGGAAGCCTTCCCGACCAAGCATGAGACCGCAAAAATTGTGACCAAAAAGCTGCTGGAAGAAATCTTCCCCAGGTATGGCATGCCCCAAGTGCTGGGCACTGATAATGGACCTGCCTTCGTCTCCCAGGTAAGTCAGTTGGTGGCCAAGCTATTGGGGATTGATTGGAAATTACATTGTGCATACAGACCCCAGAGTTCAGGACAGGTAGAAAGAATGAATAGAACTATTAAGGAGACTTTGACCAAATTAACGCTTGCAACTGGCACTAGAGACTGGGTGCTCCTACTACCCCTAGCCCTCTACAGAGCTCGCAATACACCAGGACCCCACGGGCTCACACCTTTTGAAATACTATATGGGGCGCCCCCGCCCTTCATTAATTTCTTTGACTCCAACATTTCAGGCTTTGCTAATAGCCCCTCTCTGGAAGCTCATTTACAGGCACTCCAGATCGTGCAGAGAGAGGTCTGGAAGCCACTCGCTGCAGCCTATAAGGAACAATTAGACAGACCAGCGGTACCTCACAGCTACCAGATTGGCGATACAGTTTGGGTCCGCAGACATCAGACTAAGAATCTGGAACCCCGCTGGAAAGGACCCTACACCGTGCTGCTAACCACTCCAACGGCACTGAAAGTTGACGGCATCGCGGCCTGGGTCCACGCCTCCCACGTAAAAACAGCTCGTACAGAAGGAGATACAGCAGAACCACTATGGAGGGTCCAGCGCTCTCAAAACCCTCTAAAGATAAGACTTACCCGGGGGCCCCATTGACTGGTTTATGGATCTTGTTGGGACTAGGGATGATAGTCCGGGGAGACAGCCCTCACCTGGTACGCTCCCTAAAATGGCAGGTATTGTCCTCGGTCGGAGAAGTTGTCTGGGAAATTCAGGCAAACCATGCGATAGACACCTGGTGGCCCCCACTTACGCCGGATTTCTGCCAGCTTGCAGCAGGATCAGAGATATGGGATATTCCTGATTTGCTACCTACACAGTTAAAGGACCGGGCAGGCAGCCGCTTTTCTCCTGGGGGAAAATTCGGCTGCGGAAGCCCTGAAGGAAGATGCTTCCTGGGGTAATTGGATTTCTATGTCTGTCCCCGGGATGGGCGGGAGCGAGACCAGGTCCGACGCTGTGGAGGATGGGAAAGCTTATTCTGTAATGCCTGGGGATGTGAAACAACCGGGGATGCGTTTTGGAAGCCTAGCTCCTCATGGGACTGGATCACTGTTCATAAGAACTACACCTCCCCTAGGGAGTGTTCCGCAAAGAATACTGGAAAATGTAAAGGCAACCCCACCTGCCTGCCCTTAAACATCACCTTCACCCCCCGAGGTCGAGCATCAGGGCAGTCTAACTGGATGACAGGGAGGACTTGGGGCCTCCGATGGTACTTCCCAAACAGAATGACTAAGAAGGACCTAGGTGCCATCTTCACTATAAAACTAAAAGTGGAAACGGCCCGCCAAGCAGTTGGTCCTAATCTAGTTATTTCTGACCAAAGACCCCCATCACAGCCCGGCCAGGCAGTGCTCCCAGAAGCTCCCCTCAATGTACCAGCCACCCCATCAACTGCTTCTACCCCACTCACAGCCTCCCCGACTCCCTACCAATCCGGGACCGGGGACAGGTTACTTGATTTAGTCCAGGGGGCATATCTAGCCTTAAATGTGACAGACCCCAATAAGACCCAGGAATGTTGGCTATGCTTGATTTCCAGACCCCCCTATTATGAAGGGATAGCAGTGACAGGTACCTATGTCGTATATAACTCGCCACCCACACAGTGCATCGGTCTTCCCCAGCACAAACTAACCCTGTCGGAGGTATCAGGAAAAGGACTCTGCATGGGAACGGTCCCAAGCTCTCATCAAGCTTTATGCAATACTCGACAGCCCGTCCCATCCGGTTATTATTTAACCGCACCAAGCGGTACCTACTGGGCTTGTAGCACTGGGATCACCCCTTGTCTATCAACAACTGTACTTAACCTGACCTCTGATTACTGTGTTTTAGTTGAATTATGGCCTAAAATTACATATCATGATCCTGAATATATTTACAGTCATTTTGAAGGGAGACCTCGATTCAAACGAGAACCAGTATCCCTTACTTTAGCCCTGCTGTTAGGAGGACGAACTGCAGGAGGTATAGCAGCAGGGGTAGGAACTGGTGCTTCTGCCCTTGTAGCTACCAGCCAATTCAGACAGCTTCAAGCGGCAATGCATACGGACATCAAGGCCTTAGAAGAATCAGTCAGCACCCTTGAGAAATCCCTAACCTCTCTGTCAGAAGTGGTGCTGCAGAACCGCAGGGGGCTTGATATATTGTTCCTGCAAGAAGGAGGCTTATGCGCTGCCCTGAAAGAGGAATGTTGTTTTTATGCAGACCATACTGGCCTAGTCAGAGACAATATGGCAAAACTGAGGGAAAGACTTAAGCAGAGACAGCAGTTGTTCCAGTCAGAGCAGGGATGGTTTGAAGGCTGGTTCAAAAGGTCTCCCTGGTTTACCACCTTGGTTTCCTCCATCATAGGCCCCCTAATCGTTATACTTTTAATCTTGCTTTTTGGGCCTTGTATCCTAAATCGCTTGGTCCAATTCATGAAGGACAGGCTGTCTGTCATCCAGGCTCTGGTCCTGACACAACAGTATCATCAGCTTAGACAGTTTGATCCCGAAGACATGGATACCACAGCTAAATGAATAAAGGGTTTTATTCAGTTGATAGAAAAAGGGGAGGGTGAAAGACCCCCACAGTATAGACAAACAGCTAAGCAGCAGCAATGCCAGGCTTAAACTTTGGAGCAACGCAAGTAACATTAGAGCAGGGAAGTTCGACTTGAGAACAAGGGCGGAGAAGCCAGGCAAGATATCTGCGGTCAGCCGGTCAGCCATCTGGCCCCAAGCGATAAGGAACCCGCAGCTGGCCTGCTCTAATGAGAACCTCCCGTTTGCTTAGGGAAACAGGATGCCTATAGTCAGCACATGTGCCCAACTTAGAATATCAGTAATTCACAGAAGAGACAACTCCCCCTATGAAAGATCCCAGCTTGGCTGCTGTAACGTCATTTCATAAAGCTTTTGATGAACGACTGTAAGTGCAGAGTAAGGTCAGGGTCCCTGGCTGCAAAACAGGATATTTATATCCATAGATTCGGGCAGGACATCAATTAACAGGATATCTGTTCCCATACATCTGTGCTGGGAGAGGAAAAACCACCTGTGCCCCTTGCCCCATTCCAACTGACCACTAATGATGCATTTGCTTCTGTAATCTGCTTCTGCTGCCCTCTTTCCTATAAAAAGACCTTCCCCCAGTCTGCAGGCGCGCTTTGTCTTTCGAGAGACTAAGTCGCCCCAGGTACCTGTGTACTGAATAAAGCCTCTTGCTATTTGCATCCGAAGAGTGACTCGCTGTTCCTTGGGAGGGTCTCCTCAGCCTGAAAGACTGCCCACCACTGGGGTCTTTCAGTGAGATGCTTATAGTGGTTTGTAAAGGAGCCTTATACCAAATCTAAAAAACCTGAGGCCAGTCCAGAGGATCCACATAATAGAAGAGAACCTATTCCTACAAGTTGCTCTTCACTTCCAACACACAGACACACATCATCATCATCATAATAATAACTCTAACTTGTTTTTATTTTGAAAAAGTTCCAACTCACACAGGACAGAGTGTGGACCCCCTCCCACACCCCTCACCGCTGCTGTATCATCCAAGTGCCTGCAGTGGGAAAGAATTCTAAGAGGAAGTCTGCAGTTTGGGATCTAGAGCAGGGCTCCGACCTGATTAGCTGGCTAAGCAGGGCTCTTTGTTTAATTTCAGTTTCCTTATCAGTATAAAGAAAAGCTGTTCACCTGGTCACAAGTCACCATCTGCTGCAGGCTTGTAGGTCCGGTCAAGTTCTCAGGCTCTGCTGAGATCTGTGGTCTTAGGTGATTATGTATTTGTTTTTCTCTCAGAGTCTTGTAGCCTGGGCTGGTCTTGCCTCCGGACGCTCCCATGTTATCCGGGGCTAGGATTATAAGTATTTGTTACTATACAGCTTGGGTGGTCAATTTTTAATTGAGAATAAAAAGAATGCTTTGTTTTATTTTCTATAGTGTTTTTTTTTCATGAAAAGCAGGCTATTTTAAAATATTTATTTATTATGTATACAATATTCTGCCTGTGTGTATGCCTGTAGGCCAGAAGAGGGCACCAGAAGAGGGCACCACAGATGGTTGTAAGCCAACATGTAGTTGCCGGGAATTGAACTCAGGACCTTTGGAAGAGCAGGCAATGCTCTTAACCACTGAGCCATCTCTCCAGCCCTATCTATTTTATTTTATTTTTCATTTTTGTTGTCTTGAGACAGAGTCTCACATGGTCTTGCCTGGTGTCAAACTTGTTATATGGCTGAGGGTGGCCTTGGACTCTGAATCCTTCTGCTTTCTTCAGAGTGCTGGGACTACGGGCTTATGATAGCAGACCTGAGAAGATTGTTTGGACTGGAGAGATAGCTTAGTGGTTAAGAGCACTGGCTGTTCTAGCAGAAGACCTGGGCTCGGTGCCAAGCACCCACGTGATGGCTCACAACCACCTGTAACTACAGTTCCAGGGCCTCCAATACCCTCTTCTAGCCTCTTCATGGATATGGGAATGTGTGTGTGTGTTTGTGTGTATTGAACCTATATAGATGCAAACATCAACACATACATATAAAAAACAAATCTGGCGTGGACCGCATGGCGACCGTTGCTGCTTGACAAAGCTCCAGCATTTCAACATTGTGATCACACTTCTCCAGGACCTTTTTGCTTTCATTTCTAATCATCCTCACTATTAATGCCTTTCCCTTTGGGAAATTCTGTGCGGGCTTTGGTAAAGAATAAAAATGTGTACAATGACTGCCTCTCTAAACAAAATAATTCTTTGGGGAAAAAAATCCCCACCACTGTGGACCCAGGAATTCCCCTGTGCCCTCTTAATTACACCAAGAACAGGAAGGTTATATTTACTAGATCCACCTGGCCCCAAGAATAAGATGCCCACAATCCAGAACCTGAGGCCATTAAGGGCAAGAGTTCAGGTAATTTGTGTAGAGAAAACAGAATGTTACGGTACACACACACACACACACACACACACACGAACATCAGGATTTTCCCTTTTGGGAGCGTTATGAGGGGACCAGGCTCCTAAAGTAAGACTAAGAACTATATCATAGGGTCTGCTCTCTAGTGTTGTAGGAAAGTATTTATTTATTTATTTATTTATTTATTTATTTTTGGTTTCTTGAGACAGGTTTTCTCTGTGTAACAACTTTAGCTATCCTGGAACTAGCTCTTATAGGCCTCGAACTCACAGAGGTCTGCCTGCCTCTGCCTCCTGAGTGCTGGAATTAAAGGCGTGGGCCACCACCACCTTATTTTAAAGTGTGTTACTTTTGTTTATGCTGCATAACTCTGAGAAGCTGTGCTATTGTGTCTAAAACACCTGATGGTCTAATAAAGAGCTGAATGGCCAATAGCGAGGCAGGAGCAAGAAGGAGAAATCTGGGAAGAAAGAGGAGTGACTGGGAAGGAAGCAGGTAGAACAAGGAGAGGAGGAGGTCAGGGGCCAGCCACCCAGCTACACAGCCAGCCAAGGAGTGAGAAGTGAAAGTTATACAGAAATTGAGAAAGGTAAAGCCCAGAGGCAAAAGGTCGTCAGGGACAATTTAAATAAAGAAAAGCTGGCCAGAAACAAGCCAAGCTAAGGCCCGGCATTTATAAGTAATAAGTCTCCGTGTGTATTTATTTAGGAACTGGGTGTTGGGCCCCCCAAAAGATCAAAGATCAAAAAAAGCCAAGAGAATAAAAAGAGTAAAAGAAAACCCAACAACATTTTAGCATTCCAACACGGGGCTAGAGTGAAAGAAAACCCCCAAA